GCAACTCTGGGGTTAGGACACTGGAGCTTCTAACCAAGAAAATGGTGCCGGCACATGTGCAGTGGGACATACGGCGGCCATTTTTAGCAACCCGGAAATCACCGGCAAAATGGCACCCGCACATGCTCAATATGCCGGTCTACGGCAAAATGGCGCCGGCTGGATTATGCATTTTTCTATCCTATATATAGGGCTAATATGGCGTCCGGCGTGCATGGCATCACCCCTACTGCAGATGTGTGTTTACACGAAACACGTCTAGGAGGAGCCCCTGCACGCTTTGACGCTACGCCGCCGGATCAGGAGGTCCGGCGGCCCACATTAGATGTATACTGGTCAGTGTTTTTGGGTGCCTGAGGAATCCATATATTTATATTACAGTGGACTTATTTTAATATTAGTATTATTTGACTATATTGATATTATTTTACTGTATTTTTTCTTTGCCATTTAATTTGATGTAGCGCTGCACTCCTTGTACTTTTGAGTTTATTAGAAAGGTTTTGTGGTTCCTTTTAGTGCATTGGTCGCTTGTCGGATTGCGCTCACTAACTTATATATTTTTTTATATTACAATATCAATGGATTGAAGAGGATGGAGAGTATAAGAAGGGGCAATAACATTTTCATACAATTCTTCTAGTAACAATAGAATATAACTAAGTAAATGTTATGGGAATTGTATGCTATGAAATGGATAAATGGTAGAGTGTCTTACTATAATGAACCAAAAATGTTTTATTTTTTTAAGAAATTACATTCTGACAAAACCATCTAGAGATACTGTAACCTCATCATTTGGAGTTTCCCCTTTTTTCAGTCTGAGACAGTCTACACTATCACACAAAGCGACTTTGCAAAGTAAGAATGCAGTAAAAAAAAGTGGTTGTAAAGGCTGAAGGTTTTTTTGCATTACAGGCTGAAGGTGAAAAACCTGCAGTGTGCAGCTTCCTCCTCATCCGCTCTAATACTTACCTGAGCCTGATCCCAATCCAGCGATGTGCACAAGAGCCGAGGCTCTCCTGGGTCTCTCTTTCCTCATTGGCTGAGACACAGCAGGGGGAGCCATTAGCTCCTGCTGCTGTCAATCACAGCCAGTGAGGAGGGAGTGGGAGTCTGGGCTGAGACATGCTGGGGTTTATTTACTAAAGCTGGAGAGTCCAAAATCAGACTCCCTTCTGCATAGAAACCAATCACCTTCTAACCTCAGCTTGTTCAATGAAGCTTTGGCAATGAAACCTGGAAGCTAATTGCTTTCTATGCAGAAGGGATTCTGATTTTGGACTCTCCAGCTTTAGTAAATAAACCCCGCTCTGTCTGTCCCATAGACACAGATTGGGGCTTGGGAGTGAACATACACACGAGTGCCCCCAGAGCCAGCAGCTAGCTCTGGAGGCATTCAACAAGAGGGGAGAGGCCAGAAGCGCCGACGGGGGACCCGAGAAGAGCAGGATCGGGGCTGTGCACAGAGTAGGTAAGTATGATCTGTTTATAATTTCAAAGAAAAAAAACCAACCTTTATAAACACTTTAAACCCCAACTCCAGGGAAATAGAAAAAATCTCTTGCAGTGGGGCTTTGCCCACACTGCAAGGGTTGATTGCTCCTTTATGTCTAGGAGAACAATAAAAGGAAACATGCTTACCTGATTCTCCACTCCTTTCTGCAGCTAGACCAGTTTCTGTAGCTTTGGCACCCCCCTGCTCTAGTCGTCTAGGGTCCTGATAGCCCTGCTCTGGATGTGAGGATGGTGAGGGACGGGTAAGTAAAACTGTTTCTCCTTTCCCCTTTACAAAACAAGCTATTAATCCTTGCAGTTTGGGCACAAGTCCACTGCAAGGGATATTTTTTTTTTCTGGCAAGAGTTGGGATTTAAGTAAAACTATGTTCTACCAGATTTAAAATCTCAACTCTATAAACAAACTTCTATTTATCAGAGGATAATAATCAATAGTGCAACTGACATCAAACTATGTTTATAGCAAATTAAAACAGATTTCAAAATCCTTTCATGTGTAGTTTCCTTTCAGATATTAAAATGATTGGTTTAAATACCTAAATGTCATTGACTCTGGAGACGACTTCAGCCTACTTGCGCAAACCACTTATCTCTGGTACATAAACATTTGTCATTCTTGACTCTAAACAGGATAGTTAATATTTGTATCATAATGTCCTTCTGTTAAACTATCTATATATAGACCACCAAGCTGCCAATGTAGATGAAGACTGTACACTAGAAATAGTGATGCAGTGAGAGGATGTGTTTAACAGAACTATAGGAAAAAGCATTCTATTATATTTGCTGTGTTTAAAGCTTACTATATTATAGTTTATTATGATGTTTTATAGAAAAGGGGGCCTCGACATAATAATTGTTTTGAATGTATTTTAATGTTTATCAATAAAAATTATGATTTTCTGCTTTACATTTATAGTGTTGGCATATAGCAGCACATTATAATTTACATTTGACGTGACTCCACTTAAGCACCTAAAAAATAATATCTATACAATTAACATAGGTTAGTACAATACAAAGCAATGCCATTTATGAATGGGCTTGTCTGAGCTGCAGTTTACTACCAGATAACATTCCTTTTAGCTTTGGTCTACTGTGGCTGTTTATAAATGTGTACATTTATAAATTTTAGCATAAAGATCTGTTAACAGTCTTGTTTGGATAGATAAAGAGTAAAACAAGAGGCTTGAATATTTTTTCAAAGATTGCCACATGTTCGAAGCCCAGGCTGCAAAGGAGTTCATTTATCAAAGGAAAATACACTGTTTACTTTCCAGAGGAAATGTCCATTAGCTCAGTGAATGATGTGAAACACTGCTGACTTTCATCGTCTAATTATGTGCAAGCCATGTTACTGTTTTTTATTTTCTTTGCATGAGATTGGGTATTCTTTTATATGTGAATTTTCTCCACATTCACTAAGATAAGCAAATTGCCTTGCAAAGTGAATAGCCAATAATGGGCAGCACAGTGGCTAAATGGTTAGCACTTCCGCCTGGCAGTACTAGGGTCGTCGGTTCAAATCCCAACCACGGCACCACCTGCCTGGAGTTTGCATGTTCTCCCTGTGCCTGCGTGGGTTTCCTCCGGGTAATCCGGTTTCCTCCCACACTCCAAAGACATGCTGGTAGGTGAATTGGCTCCTGTCTAAATTGGCCCTAGTATGTGTATGTATAAATGTAAGTTAGGGACCTTAGATTGTACACCCCTTGAGGGTTAGGGACTGATGTGAATGTACAATATGTATGTAAAGTGCTGCGTAAATTGATAGCGCTATATAAGTACCATAAATAAATAAAATCTCTAATTTAGGTGAGTGTCAATTTATCTTAATTGCGATCCCCTCCTTCAAAAGAGATCATGAGTGAGTGTCTAAGGCCTTCAGACATGTTACCAGCATTGAAGGTAACCCAATTAGCATTATCATCCACAGGAAAGGTTAGGCAGGCCATAGACAGGCTGTTTATTGGCCGAATTTTCAGCCGATAAATGAAAAATCGGTCGGCCCAGTTACCAATGCTGCCAACCATGTCCACGAAAAACGGCAGTTTTTCGCGGATTTTCCAGCATGACCGATAAAAATAAATGGACGACGGGCTGGCCCCACTAATGGCGTGATTATCAGGCGATTTGTCGCGCAGACGAAAATTTGGCCGATAAACGACCCGTCTATGGCCTGCATTAGAGTATAAGCCCTTCTATTAATCTTTTTATAAATTATTACCATACATGATTTAACAGTTTGTACATTGCTTTACAATATAAAGGGAGACATTACAATTATTACAATACAGTTCAGTACAGTAGGATTAGGAGTATCCTGCTCGTGGAGCTTACAATCTAAAAGGATATATATATATATATATATATATATATATATATATATAATACACTGTATATCCATATAAATGCAATCCTGTTTGTAGTTGAGTACAGGTCTGCTTTAAAGACTAACCTCAGCTAAATCCCTTTTTTTTTGTTTTGGGTGAACAGATTTTTATTGCTGTTTGTGTCTCTGTTAGACAGCGCTCACTGACACTGCAACAAAAATCTTAGATTTTCACTAATGCTGTACATACCTATATAGTGTTTTGATCAGGTAATGCACAGTCTCTTTTTGCTGAATGTGTTTGACTCATAATATAAACTGTAAAATATATTCTGTATATTTATGTGTTAAAAATAAATATTAAATGTTAAATAGGTTCTAATCCTTCCCCACTTTCTAATCAGTTAATCAGTGTCCTTGTGTCCTTATTTCCCTGTGACCACACAGGATGTAAGGTGAAATTTCTTCAATGAGGGACACACATAGCAATAATCTAAAAGAAAACAATTATGTTGCGGCTGGAATTGACCTTTGGTGTCATTGCCATTTAGAATTTAAACATGAAATTACACAATAAAAATCCCATGTACTGCAGGAATTGAAGTTGACAATTAGGCATTAGGTTCTAAATTTAACTCTCTTTAATTTTTATTTCAGAAGTATATAACTGACGAATGTTTTTCTTCTTCGAGCGTCTGGAAGCAAACAACTACAACACTTACCGGTCCCGGAAGTACAGTGACTGGTACGTGGCACTAAAGAGAACTGGGCAGTACAAAAATGGATCCCAAACTGGGCTAGGACAGAAAGCTATCCTATTTCTTCCGATGTCAGCAAAAAGCTGATCTTGATGGACATCTTCATTTATAGAAAACAGTAATTATATTTTTTAAAAAAGGTTAGAATATAACTATATATTTTCAGTTTATAAATGTGACATCAAATATTAATACTATTCACCCTTGTGCCAGTGTTTAAGAATTTTAAATTTTTGTATCTATTCATGTTTTAATATATTTCCATGTAAAATGACATATGTACGTAGCAATGCAAGTATTGTCCTGAGGTATTTTCCATTCCGAAAGAGTCTGTTGGATAAAAAAAATGAAAATAATCATTTATTTTTTTTAACACTGTTTCAATGTGAAGCTTACTTGACATCAAGTTTTACTTCATAAGAATCTGGTAATTCCTTGTGGTACAGATTGTAGAATAAACCTGAGTAAACGGCTGGGAATGTCCTCACAGTTAGGTCAATATTGTGAAAGCCTTCCTTATAGCCATATAGTAAAAGCTTAGCGATTCTACTGGTGATGGGTGTAGTATGACTTGAGTAGGCAAGCTCCTGCAGGTCCATCCATTCACACCTCAGACACTCATGAGGGCAGAAGTTTATGCTGTAAGACGATGGCTTCAAACGACATATGATGTACATATCTGACTTTCCAAAGGCCCCGGGGTGATTATGCTGCTGTCTAATGCTTAGGAGAGACTTAAACTCTGATTTAATGCCAGTCTCTTCCAGGACTTCTCGAACTGCTGTGGCTCCTGCAGAGTAAAATGAAACAAAGCCTTATGAATTAGTTTTCCAATATAATTATAGGTCATAAAGAAAACCATTGTATTCGGTTAAGACAATGTACAATTCAGCATCTGTCATACTTTAATTTTACAAATGAACAACACCACAAACTACAAGAATATGATACATTCCATGCTACAATTTTACAAATCTGTGGTATGGCTGAAATAATTTGGGTTCTGATATAAAATCTGAACAAAGACTATTTAATATCTCTTAACCTATGTTTAAAGGGACACTGCCAGCTCCACATTAAAAGCACAGTGACGGTGTCTGCAGACAGTCCAGTCCATCATTCCTCCCCCCTCTTCCCAGTGAGGTATACCCATTGATCCAAGCTCCTTCACTGTCTCCCTACGTCATCAAAGCCCACTCCACTGCTCTAAGATAGTGGGGCTTCTGGGTATTAAGCTGGGTACACATACCGAAAGTTCTGGTACGTACGTACTCCTCTCTGTTCAACAGATGCCGGTCTAGCGACATGCTGGAAAACCAGCATGTGATCAGCACATGCAGTCAATGGCTTCAGCTCTGATCTATGTATTCAGATGGGGTAGGGGAGCCCTACCATAGCATGGCAGAGAAGACCCCTGAATCTACATCACTTGTGTGGATGCAGGGATCTGTCAGATTAATTTGTTCAACCCGCTGGCTGAATGAAAAAAAAACAAAACTGTAAGTATATACTCTGCTTAGGGGAGAATGTGACCTCCTCCCTGTGACAGTGCTTGGGTCTGAGCACCAGCCATCAGGCCGAGGTGTTTGTTAACAGTTAAGCAGGAGATTTTCTTTCCTTCCACCCGTGGAACAGTGTTGATGGAGGAATCCCTTCCACAGTGCTATTGTGTTGTGCTGGCAGGGAGCCTTCCCGGCCAGCAGAACTCAATAATTACTACTAGCAGCTATAGCGACCAGTAGCAATCACATGTAAAAAATCAGACAGGCTTGTTGTATCCAAGTAGATCGATGGATTGACCTGGGTACAACCAGCCTGCCCATAGATGAATCAAATCTCGGATGGCCCCTGCTGAATCAGCCGAGATTCAATAAAAGTATGGCTGGATTTACATTTTTTCCAATATAAGAAGCAATTACTTTATTTTAGTTTTAGCACGCACATGTCAAACCGTTATTTGTAGCATAAAACTGAGTGTAGAGCAATGTTAATTTCATCAACAAAATTAACACTATTTTAGTCGACTAAAATATGACTAAACTAAAATAGCATTTTAGTCAAAAGACTACGACTAAAACTAAATCGAAATTTGACAGAAAAATTAAATCGAAATTTGACAGAAAAATTAACACTGGTCATACGGCTAAATCTGTGTCTGTAGTGCATGTTCAAACCTTATACCATAAATAATAACATGTTCAGTATATAATGAATTTGGAAAGTCTAGAAATGCTTAGTCAACTAAAATACGACTAAAACTAACACAATTCAGATGACTAAAATACGACTAAAACTAAAATGGCATTTTAGTCAAGACTATGACTAAAACTCAAAAAACTAGGGCTCATAAAAAAAAACAGAATTGGGTCAGACTCAGAAGACTCAGCTGAAGAATATGTCTTTAAAACTGATGTATACAAATCTTAGGTGTGTGATCCTTCTACTTTATTAATAAAAATACAACAATTTTCTTAATGTAAAGGTATGCTCACGAAAAGACAATATGTGTGAAGTTTAACAGTGTCCTCAGTGTCAGCACCCTCTCCCATGTGACTAATATACTCAAACAACACTGGCATAAAAAACACTGGCTTATGCATGTTATAAAAAGAAAAAAATATATACCAACCAATATCTTCTCCTGGATCAGACAACCCCCCTGGAAACTTCCATGCATTTAAAGTCTGGAATGCAAGAACACTTAGTAAGTGTTTTATGTTACATTCAGATGTCCTTTAAATGAAATGAATCTGGAATTATTTTAAATCTAAAAGTCCCTGTCAAAAGTAGGGCTACATGTGTTTTTGTTTAACGTAAACCTCAGTGACCCTGAAAATGTACATACAATCAGGTCCATAAATATTGGGACATCGACACAATTCTAACATTTTTGGCTCTATACACCACCACAATGGATTTGAAATGAAACGAACAAGATGTGCTTTAACTGCAGACTGTCAGCTTTAATTTGAGGGTATTTACATCCAAATCAGGTGAACAGTGTAGGAATTACAACAGTTTGCATATGTGCCTCCCACTTGTTAAGGGACCAAAAGTAATGGGACAAATGGCTTCTCAGCTGTTCCATGGCCAGGTGTGTGTTATTCCCTCATTATCCCAATTACAATGAGCAGATAAAAGGTCCAGAGTTCATTTCAAGTGTGCTATTTGCATTTGGAATCTGTTGCTGTCAACTCTCAAGATGAGATCCAAAGAGCTGTCACCATCAGTGAAGCAAGCCATCATTAGGCTGTAAAAATAAAACAAACCCATCAGAGAGATAGCAAAAACATTAGGCATGGCCAAAACAACTGTTTGAAACATTCTTAAAAAGAAGGAACGCACCGGTGAGCTCAGCAACACCAAAAGACCCGAAAGACCACGGGAAACAACTGTGGTGGATGACTGAAGAATTCTTTCCCTGGTGAAGAAAACACCCTTCACAACAGTTGGCCAGATCAAGAACACTCTCCAGGAGGTAGGTGTATGTGTGTCAAAGTCAACAATCAAGAGAAGACTTCACCAGAGTGAATACAGAGGGTTCACCACAAGATGGAAACCATTGGTGAGCCTCAAAAACAGGAAGGCCAGATTAGAGTTTGCCAAACGACATGTAAAAAAGCCTTCACAGTTCTGGAACAACATCCTATGGACAGATGAGACCAAGATCAACTTGTACCAGAGTGATGGGAAGAGAAGAGTATGGAGAAGGAAAGGAACTGCTCATGATCCTAAGCATACCACCTCATCAGTGAAGCATGGTGGTGGTAGTGTCATGGCGTGGGCATGTATGGCTGCCAATGGAACTGGTTCTCTTGTATTTATTGATGATGTGACTGCTGACAAAAGCAGCAGGATGAATTCTGAAGTGTTTCAGGAATATTATCTGCTCATATTCAGCCAAATGCTTCAGAACTCATTGGACGTCCCTTCACAGTGCAGATGGACAATGACCCAAAGCATACTGCAAAAGCAACCAAAGAGTTTTTTAAGGGAAAGAAGTTGAATGTTATGCAATGGCCAAGTCAATCACCTGACCTGAATCCGATTGAGCATGCATTTCACTTGCTGAAGACAAAACTGAAGGGAAAATGCCCCAAGAACAAGCAGGAACTGAAGACAGAGGCCTGGCAGAGCATCACCAGAGATGAAACCCAGCGTCTGGTGATGTCTATGCGTTCCAGACTTCAGGCTGTAATTGACTGCAAAGGATTTGCAACCAAGTATTAAAAAGTGAAAGTTTGATTTATGATTATTATTCTGTCCCATTACTTTTGGTCCCTTAACAAGTGGGAGGCACATATGCAAACTGTTGTAATTCCTACACCGTTCACCTGATTTGGATGTAAATACCCTCAAATTAAAGCTGACAGTCTGCAGTTCAAGCACATCTTGTTTGTTTCATTTCAAATCCATTGTGGTGGTGTATAGAGCCAAAAATGTTAGAATTGTGTCAATGTCCCAATATTTATGGACCTGACTGTAGATCAGAAAAGTCACAATAAAGTCAATCTAGAAAACTCAAAGTAAAGTCAAATCCTTCCTGCATGCTTGTACCAGGTCACCAAGTAAAAACAGTGAAGCAACTTGATAAAGTTTTAGTATTTTTTGGAACTGGAGTTTGGCATTGGCAGACTTCAGGTTCCTCTCATGGCATATTTCATTTAAAAATGCGACATTAAGCACAGGCTAGCTTGCCTAATTATAGTGGCAATTATGTGTCTAGCAGTATATTGGGAAGGAATTAGGGATGCACCGATATAAAGGCCACTGACCATTATCGGCCAAAATTATTGGCGTTTTGCCAACAGAAAAAAAAGTGACGATAATGGCATGCTGTGTCCCATAGACTTCAATGCAAAAACACCCCCTTGTGACTTTAATCCAAAGTCGCGTCTCATAGACTTTAATACCAAGTCGCATCCTATAGACTTTAATGCAAAGTCACGCTCATTAGACTTTAATGTAAAGTCGTGTCCATTAGACTTTAATGCAAAGTCACGCCCCATAGACTTCAATTCAAATATACTCCATGGTGACTTCAATGCAAAATCACATCCCATAGACTTCAATGTAAAATTGTGTCCCATGGGCTTCAATGAAAAACACCCCCCTGTTGACTTCAGTGCAAAATCTCGTCCCATAGACTTCAATACAAAAACACCCCCTAGTGACTTAAAGGCAAAATCGTGTCCCATTGACTTCAATGCAAAAACGCCCCATAGCCCCATAATGCCAGCCACATTAATTAAATTTACAAAAAATTGAAAACTGTCCATTTCGAGTTTTGGTTTTCTGCCAAGTGCATCCTGAATTTTCAGGTTCGGTACTGGAATTTTAATTTCAGTGCACCACTAGAAGGAATGAAAATAACGTATATCAAATGGCAATTGACAGATGAACAATACACTTTAAAACTACCACTGGCAATAATGCAGACTGCTAAGGGGGTCATTGAGATATATATTATTACTGTAGAAATGATAACACAAGTTTGACTAAAACACAACAAAAAGTACATTATAGTTATTATGAAGTTACATTTGTATATATGAATTTAAACAAAATAATCATCAAACAAAAGCTAAACCAAATGGCTCCCCAACCATGGAAATACTAAAAAAAATGCAGTACATGCCATGTACCAGCTGAACAACCAAGTGATTGGCCTTAGCAGAACCCCCCCCAGAAGAGAAACAAACAACATTAATAAAGTACAGCTAATAATGCATTGGCCACTGCCAGTGTTGTTTCCTCTCAATGCAAGACACTGTATAAACTATACATTAAAAATTCAGCTGCTGGATTATGCCCCATCTAAATGATCTTTCTATCTGCATTCATGCTTGTGTCTAAAGTAGAGATAGGAGGAGCACTCAGCAGACCTATCCGGCAGCAGAGATTTTTATACTGGCTAGCAAAAAAATCCAACCAGCCCTCAAAGAAAACATAGGTGGAGGCCTGTGACAGTTGGGTACAATCTACAGACATACAAATGTATCCCAACCTGACAGCTTGCTGGAGTTGGTGAAAGTTCCCTGATGTCTGTAGGCACATTTATTTTACCTGTGGGAGATTAGACAGCCTGCTAAGTGCCAGGACACACAGCCAGTGTAAAGTGTAGGAAGTCTGTATTAGAAATTGTGGAGAAAAATACAATGCACAATGTGCATGTTAGTGCCTATGGAGAGGAAAGGGAGAATGCTTTGAAGATATCCCCAGCACCAGAGAAAGCTCCATTAGCAATTTTGTAGAAAGTTGCTATTTGCATATTTATATTTTCTCAGCTGGGACAGAAATGTGATTATTTTAAAGATATTTAATGAACCATAATAGTCAGAATGCTGCAGGTTTACTTCAAACCTTTATATTTGGAAAATGATATATAATTGTTATGCTCAAGATTTTATTTTGACATATTTGTGTTACAACTATTACTAGAATGTTATCCCCGCATTTAAACAAAAGCAGGACATCTCAAATGTGTATTGCAACATCTGAAGATGTAAGTCAAGTGACTGATCTAAAGGCTGACAGGCAACAGGAGACTTTTTAACATAGAATGCTGCTAGTTTTATGAAAGGGAATGTATCACTGATATATTTAAGTATTTAGCCTCTATATCTATTTTGATTAACAAAATGCTCCACATTAGATCAAAGTATTAATTCCAAAGATACCTTGGCCTAAGCATGACTAAGACTGCGGTACTGTACAGTAACTGCATTTGTGTTGTATGCCATGTTAGCCTTTAAAATAGGTTCACACCTAAGCGTTTTCTGCAGCATTTTGCAGAAACAAAGTACAGTTCATTTAACATTATTTTCTATGGGACGTGTTCACATCTGTGCATTTTCACCCGATGGAAAGGGACAGGGACTTTTTTTTAATGCAACAAATTGAGTTTTTGGTTTTATAGACTTCAATGGAAATGCTGCAGAAAAGCATGTATTGCGTTTTTGCTGCCTTTTGCGTTTTAAATCTGCCAAGCAACAAGAAAAAACAAATGAAAAACAAATGAAAAAAACCACATCAAAAATGCAGGTGCAAAATGCAAAATGCCATGCAGAAACGGCTCAAACGCATCCTGCACAGGTGTGAACCTAGCCTTAATCCTGGTACACACAGCTGTTAGAATAGGACACTTGATAGGTTTTCCTTATAATCAAGCAAAGTTCGCAGGTGATACAATAGAAAGAGTATGTTGTGCTGTATAGAACAATCTATATAAGTTCAGCAAAAAAAATTGCTTCATATGGCTTGGAGCATGAGGCCTTTTAAAAAAAGCTATTTTATTTGACTTTTCAGCCAGCCTCTTCATCTGGAGAAAGATTGACAGCTAAACAGAATATAGAGCAGGAGCCATCATACTACATGCACGTCTACATTCAACACGTGCATTTTCAAACCATTTAAGGGCCCATTTACATCTTTGTGATGCATTAATGTGCATTAAGGGGTTGATTTACTAAAAGCAAATGGACTGTGCACTTTACAAAGTGTAGTTGCACTCTGCAAGAGCGGTTGCTCCAGAGCTTAGTAAATGAGCAGCAGCTCCGCTGACTTCCATCATCCAATAATGTAAAGCAAAAAAGCTGTTACAATTCTTTGGTTTTCCTTGTATGTGATTGGGTACTCTTTGTACAGTGAAGCTTTACCTCATTTACTAAGCTCTGGAGCAACTGCA